CTAAATTTTCTGGGACATCCCATGTAAGCAAAACCCCCTTTCTTGCAAGCAGTATAAACACACACAAACCCAAATTTATTACAGAGAATAAAAGAAAAGAAAACATTAAATATAATTTTAAAACACTACCAACTACAGAGCTAAGTCTATAGGTGGCACCTCTTAGGGAAGCTTCGCCCATACCCAGGTAGTCTGGGACTCGGGGCTTTCCAACAAGTGGTTCTGGGGCCTGCACCCCTCTACCTGCCCTTCAGTAATGGGCTGGAGAGGGTGGCCGACATCAGAGAGTCCTGAACTGCTCCTTGGGTTCACTACACTGCAGGTAGCTTCTTGAGAGTGGGGGTCCTGCCTTGCAAGGGGCCCCTCATTGCTCCTGGAGAAGTGGTAGAGTGCTGATCTTTGCTTCTGCAGAGTCCAGCCAGGGAGCACCACAGGCCAATCTTTCTCCCAATCCATCTGCTGCTTCTGACCAGTGAGGCCAGAGGATTTTATATACTTTGCCCAGATACAGGCTCCAGCTTGCCATATACTAAGCCATCTCATCCACATAAAAAACACAATATACAACAACCAAAAGAACACACTTTACCATACATAACCCCAAATGTGTGTGGGTATTACAGAAGTTTTTAAACAAAAGTCACAGGAATACTTGTTTTTAAATGACCAACAGTCTAGGGAATGCCATCCTGGAGTTGGGAAAACATTCTTAACTGAGGTTTTGCCAAATATGTTAAATTATTATAAAAACGTTTGTACTGACCAGCCCAACATTTTTCTACAAAGAATTCCTTACTGGTTTTAGTAATTATATCACTGATCTATTTCATCCTCCATCTGAGAAAAGAGGTATCATTCATGAGAAGGAAGAGATATGTAGACCAGCTTTTAAACACAAGTGTCGTAGCTCTGCGCCAGTTGAAAATACTGGGTGCTTGTTCATGTGATGGGTTTTAGTTTTTAGGGTTGCATTCTATGCTCTCGAAATTGAAATGGTGAGTTTTTAATTGAAACAGTGGGTATTTGTTTTTCATATACATTATTGTCCTGGTGGCTGCAGTGAGGGGCCCAATCTTTTTGTTTGTTTGTTTTTTTGGCAGAGCCTTCTGACCTCTCCTGCAGCTTGGAGGAGGGGGAGCATTAATCTGTGTTGTTAATCTGTCATCTTGCCCCTGGCCGCAAAAGAGGCAGGCAGGCTTTGCAGAAAAAAAGGATAAGGTCCCTTGCTGTTTCTGCCTTCAGCAGGCTTCTGCAGCTGGCAGGATGCCTGGGGCCACCCAGAAATGGGCTGTCATGCCCGTGGAGTAGCAAAGGAAGGTGGCTGGGTGTGCTGGAGGCTGGAAAAGGTGGGGATGGTGCGCGGAGCGCTGGAAACCTGGGCTGGTTTGGGGAAGCTATCAGCCCAGCCTGGCTGCCTAATGACTGCAGCATTGCAATGTTGCACATTAAACTGTATTGAGATGTAGTGTAGTTTCCAATGATGCAGACTCTTTTAAAACACCAAAAACTTGTGTATGTGTAATATGTGATGCCATTAAACCAAACAAAGGGAAATTTTCGTTCACATGTACATCGTGACTTTGTCACCTGTACAAACACCCACTGAACCTACAATGCAATTGCAAATAATGACTTCTCTTGCCAGGATGCCTTTTGGTCTTGTTTCCATTAAAAGTGACCTAATACTGTAGAGTACAGTGGCATTATGTTCCCAGTGTGGCCATAAGAGGAAGTGCAAACACTGGCTGCTTTGACATCTGCAGGATATTAGCCAGCCATTACATCACCCACCTTGAAAAGCTAACTTTTATCATAGTATTTAGGATCAGAAGGGACCTAAACAGATCATCAGGTCTGACCCCCTGCCCCAGGCAGGAACGGGTGCCGGGATCATATCACCCCAGCCAAATATCTGTCCAGCCTTCTCTTGAAGACCCCAAGGTAGGAGAGAGCACCACCTCCCTTGGGAGCCCATTCCAGAGCCTGGCAGTCCTAACTGTAAAGTAAACATTTTAGCAAGTTGTGTAACAAGGGATATTTTTATTTGTAACTTTATTGTCCTCACACTTCTCTGTTATTGTAAACGTGGTACATAAGGATACAGTAGAACTCCTTTACATTAATTGTAAGTCCTCGAGTAGTTCTCCATGTAATGGAGGCAGCCAGGAAGAAGTCAGAGCAGTAAAGTCTATGCATCTAGGCCTGGCATGGTCATGTGAAGACCATAAATTCTTTTTTTGTACCAACTGTTCCTATGTTAGTCTTCAGAAGCTGTTTCTTAAAGTGCAGAGATTCTTTTTCCTCTTTTTTTTCTCAGCGCCATTAAGAGCCTTTTGTATTGACTGTTAGTCCTTCACAGTTAATTGATAGTTTTTGGGGATTTCTTTTAAACCATGTGCATTAAAGAAATAATATCAGCAACCAGGATGTTAATCCTCCAGATCATTAAAAACATTAGGGCTAATCTAGGATTTGGGTCCAAAGTCTTAAAGTAGTAAATTATATAATCATTCTATCCCACAGAGGGAACAGAATATCACCCACTTCTCTATAAATGCAGCTGTTCTGAGGTGAGGAAAGCAATGGTAATTCTCTTGAGGCATTTATTAAACTAAAGGGAACAAAGTCTTCTGTAATGCAAGTGGATGCAATTGCCATGGAACACTGAAGGAGATGGGCTGGTTTGACCTAGCACTGGATCAGGCCCGAGGTATTTATAACAGAGCTGGGGGATCCAATGTTTATGGCCTTGTATCAGATAGAACCTGATATGGCCTAATCCTGAAACCCTTGCTTTTTGATTTGCCCTTGCAAAAGGCGAGGCCCCAGTGAACTCAGATGTCAACTGCATGAAAGATTCAGCAGACTAAACCCTGCATTCTGTTAGCTGATTGTCTGCACAGATACCAGTGGTCTTAGGGATTTGCTTTGTGGCAGAGATTTTAATTGATGATGATGATTAATGATCTGATGTGTATAAATAGATTTATTTATTGAAAGGTTAATTTCCCCATCTTTTAGAGCTAAAACAGGTGACTTACCCTCTTTCTTTCTGTTGGGTCTTTTTTCATTTTGTAGGTAGATAGGGAGGTGTAGGCACTGATGGTATCAACTTCTCTGAAACTCACCTTTAGCAAAGGCAATCAGTAAGGTAAATAAAATAGCAAAAAGTTGTATTAGATTGGCCAGATAAATAATACCACAAAGCAATTGTATATTGTAGTGACAGAATACATGGAAAATAATCATACAAATTAAGAGTAGGATCTCACATTGAATTTCTTACTGAAACATAGCTCCTCTTTCTAACCAGTGGAACTGTTTCCTGGAAGAAGCCTCTCCTTGCAATACTGGGATAGCTTCAGGCTTGCCTCTTGCAGAGGATGGAACATATAGTTTTATGTAAACCATAGGTTATCTCTCATAAGCTGCAAGCTCTTCTGGAGCTGCAAAGCCTGGACTGAGACAAGTGGAACTAAGGTTTACTGGGCTAAGGCGTTATCTCAAGGGGAAACCTTAGCTTGTTCTCCATGGACAAGAAGTAGAATAGTGGAGAGAGGTGGAAGCTGAAGGTTACCCAGACAGTAAAACCACCATGGTTCACAACTGTACCTGACTATAATAGCTGAAAGTCCCAACTGAGAACAGGGCTCAATTGCATGAGGTGCTACATAATACAGCTGGGGTACAGGTCATCCTAAGGATAGGAATCTTTAGTCAATATATGCCTTACCCAGCATTTCTTAGGTACCATAACCTTATCTACTTGTATATATTCCTTAGTTCTTGGGGAGCATGTCTATATCATCCTGAGGACTTCCTCCCCTCTGATACACATCTCTCTTTCAGGACAGGTTGTATTCCCAATTTATAATTTTATCTGAGAAATGTAGGAATATTTACATCTTCTCAGACCTATAGATTGCTAATCCAGTTTCCTTGGCTACCAATTATTCAAGGGAGATATAGATTCTGTCATTCCATTCAGAGTGAAAAATATCAACCTATGCATGATATTCTTTTCAAGTGTTTGTCTCCTGAGAATAGATGTCCCTTACTGAGGGTTTCCCCTTTGAAATGTAAACCATACTTGTTTGGGATTGGTGCCTCTACCCAAATACATAGTGCCATCTTTCTGGCTAGTCAATAAATACAGTAACTCTGGGTGCATCTTTCACAGAGTGGAATTCTCTCTGAAGTGTGAATAGCTATGTCTGGTCTGTGGATGTGTCTGACATTTCAGAAACATTCATTCCACTGACTATTTCCAGTCATACTATCAAAATATAAAAATGAATTCATCTAAAATACCAAGGTTCATACAAATGTAAACATGATAAATCTAAACATATCTTGAAATTAGCTATAATAGAGACAAAACTCTACATTAGTAAATCTATTTCAGGAAAATAGCTATTCAGGACATAAGTCAATCCTACAACTGGGTGAGTTCATGGCACGTACACAGTGTTACAGGGAAGATGCCCATTTATAGTAAGCAACTCGATGATTTTGGTCAGGAAGAGAACTTTGGGAAGATGTTCTTGTATGTATGTATGTATGATTGCCTTTTCTTCTAGCTCAGTCCCCTAGTGCTTTTACAAACCCCAGAATATCCACAGGAGAAAAGGCTTGAAAGACACAAGCCCCTGTGGATGATCTGGTTCTGCTTACCAGGGATGCCACCTCTTTCTGTCAAGCAGCAAGGCCTTTGTTTCTTTCCCTTCTGTTACTAGATTTACCCATCACCTTGGGGTGTGCTCATTTATTAGGGATATGTTTCTAGGGTTTTGGTAATTCTACCAATGTGCTGCTTGTGTTACCTGTGTTTCTATACGGAGCTGTATATCTCCCTTTTGCAAGTCCTCACCCACAATAGAGCTATCTTGCAGGACTCAGTTTCAAGGCAGCTGGGTTCCTCCAGTCACCAAATCAGTCATACACACAGACACACAGATTAACATGACATGCCTGACCCGGCTGGGTTGATCAGCATGGACAGGCTGACACCCTCATATGCCAAGAATCAGTTCATCAGAGCAACAATAAACTGCAGTCAGACACAAGCACACAGGTAAACAGAATACCTTTGAATCTGGCTGGGTGTCCAGATGACACCTTCATGGGCCAGCATTCAGTTCATTAGGGCATGTCTGAGCCAAACTGGGTCAATCAGCCTGTACAAGCTGATCCCCTTATGTGTTTCAAACTTAGCACATCCCAATCTTTAGCCTCTTGATGAGCACACCCCACAGTATTTTTGAACTTCACATGGGATCTTTAGTTTAGGTAAAAGAAGTGCTGCTGCAGAGCTAGTAGGGAAGGAAAGTAGAGAAGGAAAAATACTCCCAGTTACTACTAGTTTGACTATAAAAGTTATTCATTGCTAAATATATTAAATATATAATGGTACTAGTAGTAATAGACATGCAAAGGAAAACAAACTCAAACAATTACAATACTACCCTGGTTTCACTAAGTATTTGGGGAAACTTAGCTCAAGCTTAACTAATACAGTTCAGGTTCAGAAATGTATGCCTAGAGAGAAAAGAGAAGACAGAGAAAGAGAGAGAGTGCTGGGATCTCACTAGTCCAAGGCACTCGGATTTCAATGCTGACAGGTAAAGTTCTTAGCACAATCCTTGAAGGGAGATGATCTGTTTCCTCCAGCTTCTTCAAGAACAATAGTGGATGGTGTTAAAAAGACTTCCCCTCTTGAAGCACACACACTTTTGCTGCTTTTTTAAAGATTTTTATACCCTCAGTTCAGCTTCTTTCAAGCATTCTCAATAGTGTAAATCATTGTCTTTTCTCTTGACAAGGGGTTATCTGGTTTGGAACACCTCAACAAACTGATTGATAATCAGGAAAAACATAAGGTTAGGGAGTAACCAGACACTTAGGAGGCAGCTTGAAATTCCTATGGATAGCAGATATACTGCATGGGATATCTCATGGTTTCTTCAGAAACAATAGATAGCTTGCAGTATCAGGGTTTTGGATTTTTACTTGTTGTGAACAAGCCTCAGCTTAGCATGACTTTTCCAGATCTTACTATAGTCTTTTAACAGACTTAAAGCAATTATTGGAGCGTTCATAACCTTTGCGGGGTGGGGAGGATTTCCACCAGTCATCCCGGGAAAAGTACGACAACACTTGTGGTCAGGGCTCCAACAGGCTGGACGCTGCGATGAACCCTTTACCATGGTGCAAATGTTGCCCATACCCCCTCTGACTCAGTCTCTTTGCCTCAGCATTCCCTAACCCAGCAACAGAGTTTTAGTCAATCAAGTTTAAATAGGCCTCCCGTAGTGGGACCGGGGAATGTACGGCCGAGATGCCTATTAAACTTTACTTCTGCTTAGAGGTGTGTGTGTGTTTGGGGGGGCGGGGGAGAGGAAGTCCTTTGTAAATCCAGATTAGAACTGGTCTGATAAATGCTGAGCTGAGTGTATGTACATGTGGGTTGGTTAACATTTGGAGCACAGATTCCCCATCATGCAGTGCTCCCCTGCTTCTCTGATCCCAGAATTCACTGAAGTCTTTGCTTCAGGCTTTCTGTTCTCCATCTCCCATGTAAATGAGTTGTCATCTGGTTCCATCTCGGATGCAAATGAGACCTAGGGCAGTTGTTTCACTCTTGTCACCCTTATCTGGAGGGTTTTAGGTGCATCTCCCACTGCATCTTAATCAGTGTTTTGTTTAGGTAGAGGAGGGGAGGGAGGTGGAATTTTTTGCAAGTCAGACAGGCTGCATCCTATGCCAGGGTTCCCCAAGAACACAGGGCTGAGAGGCAACACTTCTGATCCAATTGCTTGCTCTTCTTTGATTCAAGTATGCCAGCTTCACTGCCCAACTTTTGGCATTACTTCTTTAAGCAAGCCTTCTTGTGCTGAAACTCCAGGTCACTGGTGGAACTGCATAGGAGAGGAGCTGTGATGGTTTGCTGCTCCCTGTTTGATGCTAAGTTTTGTTGCCATCCATAGTCCTTTGTTTCCACAGCATCCCTCTGTGAGAATCAGAAAATAATAATCTTTGTTGTGTCTTGTTAGGATGCATGAAATCTTGTTGCCAAAATTTATGCACAGTGTTATTGAACTGTATTTATAATGTCCTAAAATGCAATGCATTTTTTCATACAAGCCTTTTCCTTTTGCCACTCAATAGCCTTACTACGAGCACAGAAAATGTGAGAACTAGTTTATCATATCCAGCATTGTACTTCTGAAGCTTAAAGTCACTACCATGCATGATCTGATTAGCTTCCTGTTGATATCATCCAGCAGTGGCTTCATTCAGTGTTCATGGTTAATCAGATCTAACACACAAAATAAATCTTAGCAAGGGATGGTTAAATTCATCTCTTTCGGGGAACCAGCTGCCCTGCAGTTCTTGGCACATCTCAGATGCAGGTATTTTATCCACAACAAAATACAATTAGTGCATAAAATCTATGAATATGTTATGTAGCAGTATTAAAATTTGTTGTGGTCAGTGAAAAATGGTTTGATGTGGGGAGTCAGTAAAAACAGTATTTTCGTTGCAAAGATCTTTTGGAATTGCCAAGGCTTTAAAATGCATAAAAGACCTAGCTGTGATTTCCACCAATACCCAGGCTTTTGCTACCTCAGGATTAGGCTGTTGCAATGAACTTTTCTTGGGGCTGTGCTTTAAAAAACATATGGAGACTGTCTGGAATCTAGTGGTTCACTCACTGAATAGGCCAGATCACTGGAACTATATGACTGGTAGTCTCTGTAGTGTTGGTTATCACATCCCTAAATGGACTCTGCTTTCTGAGGAAACTCTCCTTTCCCACGCCCTGGGCCTTGCCCTTTGGCTGGAGACCCCCTCTGAGCTATGTGGTTGGGCCCTCCCCTTCAGGACTACAAGATATTGGAACTTTTATTTTCCCCTTTGGTCCAAAGTAGTCTGGATTTAATGCCTTTTTATCTGGAAGACACGTGCATGAGATGGTTCTGGAAAATGCTGAGGGTCTGCCTCAATGGCAGATAGGAAAACATTCCTGGGGCACTCATGATTTTAAAGCTGCCAAGATGGAATCTTATATATTGTACAGTCAATGGTGCTTGGGCACCTAAAAGTGCCTTTTCTAAGCTTTATTTTAAATCTAAGCAAGGTATTGAATTTTTTGTTTGTTGAATTTTTAATAGTTGCATGTGGGTGAGATTTTTAAAAACAGTGTTTAAATTCTGCTCCCTAGATGGATATTAAGAACAGACTTCCTTGGCTACTAATATTCTACTTAAAGCTACATTTTATACAAAACCAAAGACTGGACGTGTGTAGTGTTGTATCTGCCAAAGCAGTATTGCAATTTTGTCATTAAGGATACTGTAGTTTTCAATACGGGAGTAACATGTAAATTTAATTTGGCTTTTATTTGACTCCATTTTCATTAAGGGTCTCTCTTGTTGGCATGGCGAGGTGGGGATACAATGCAACCAGTCTGCTGTCACAAAACAGGAGGGTGGGATTCATGAAGGCCAGGTAGTGCGGGGAACCACATCTGCATTTCAGAGAGTAAAATTTCCTGGAGCCCTCGGTACAGTGCACAGGAGGTTTAGAAAGAGAACAGATTTCATAGATTTCATAGACATGTAGGCTGAAAGGGACCCCAGAGGATCATCGAGTCCAGCCCCCTGCCCTAGGGGCAGGAAGTCAGCAAGGATCATGGGTTCCCAGCAAGATAAGCATCCAAATGTGTCTTGAAGGTATTCAAAGTGGGTGCTTGAACTGCCTCCAGTGGCAATCTATTCCAAAGCTTGGGGGCTCGGACAGTAAAAAAGTTCTTTCTTATGTCCAGCCTGAATCAGTCATGGTGGAGTTTGTGACAGTTTGATCTTGTCATCCCTTGGAGAGCTCTGGTGAACAGATGTTACCCCAGATCCTGATGAGCACCCCTGATAAACTTATAGGTGGCAACCAGATCACCCCTGAGCCTGCATTTTTCTAGGCTGAAGAGTCCCATGGGTCTCAGCCTCTCATCATAAGGTCTGTTTTCTTGACCTCTGATCATGCACGTGGCTCTCCTCTGCACTCTCTCAAGCTTCTCCACATCCTTTTTGAATTGTGGAGCCCAAAACTGGATGCAGTACTCCAGCTGCGGCCTCACCAAGGCCGAGTACAATGGGAGAATGATGTCCTGGGATTTGCTTGAGAAGCATGTATGGATGCAAGCCAGCATTTTGCTCACTTTACTAGCCGCAGCATCACAATGAAAGCTCATGTTCATCTTATGGTCAATCATGACCTCCAAGTCCCTTTCATCTGTAGTGCTAGCCAGTGGAGCACTGCAAGCCTATAAGCATGCTGCAGGTTTTTCCTCCCAAGGTGGAGAACCTTGTGTTTTTTGATGTTGAACACCATCGGGTTCTCATCCGCCCATTTCACGAGCCTGTCAAGATCTGCCTGGATCACCCTCCTGTCTTCAGATGCGGGTGCTTTACCCCAGAGTTTGGTGTCACCAGCAAACTTGGCCAGCCCGCTTCCGACACCAATGTCCACATCATTGATAAAGATATTAAACAGTGTAAGCCCTTGGATACTTGGATTGTAAGTAGGGGAAGAACCATGGGGCTGTGCAAGTACAATCCACTCTGAGTGGTGTGTTGTTGTGTAATTATATCATGTGGCATCCCTAGTAAGCCCATTCTTAAAGTTGAACTGAACATTTGCATTTGCGAAAGGACTAAAATCTACAGGTAGTAACAAAGCACAAGTATGGTTCTGTGACATATTTGCAATGTGGAATGTAGAAAAACAGGTGTAAAAAGCCATGCAAAAAATTGAAAACTTGGGCCCACTATGTTAAATCCCTTTCTTTCACACTTCACTTACTGAATTTGGTCTCCAAACTTAGCATAATAACTCTTCAGAACAGTCTTTAACTTCTTCAGCTGTTGAATTTTCCATGCAATTTATGTAAACCATTCACTAAATTTTGCAAAAAAAAACATTTTAACATGTTCTTAGACTTTTAAATGTTGCCTCACAGTGGAAAGCAATGGAAGTTGAAGCAACCAGATTCCTAAATTGTTTAACACTTAGCAAAATTAATAAAAGATGAGGCATTCAGTTGCATGAAATCCATGCAATTATTGCCTGTGTTATTTTGCATTATGACAGCTCCTTAGAGGATTAAAAAAACCCCATCTTTATTAGAAATTATGGCATTACCTACCAATTACGGCAAATGTCAAAACCTCAGGTTAGAGTTCAGACTTGGGATGGAACAGAAATGTAGTTCCAACTAATTATTCACTTCTGGGTTTCTTGTCAGCTCTTGGATGTGGTTTGTTGCCATGTGGGAATTAGAAGGACATTATTTCAGGGAAATCCTTCTTGATGAGGTGAACATTAGAATATATCCTGAACCAAATTTGCTGAGCAACCTAGATCTTTTTTGACCCACAAAGTAATATATTCTCCTAGGAGAGAACCTGTGTTTGATATAAGTGGCAGGATAATGGACATTCACAAGGTACTGGGAAAATTAAGGGCTGGGACACTACTAACATAACTTGAAAAAGTCACATAGACTTTGTCATGGTTTCATTTTTACTAGTGTAAATTAGGAGTAATAGCCCTGAAATAAATGGAAACATGCCAAATTAAAACTAAGGCCAGATTAGAATTGGGCCCCAAGAGTGGTGCAACCTACTCCAGCTC